TTATCTTTGCCCACAAAGCCTTGTAGGTTACCATTAAGATGATTTGAAGTGCTGGGTGCGGTGGTACACACCTGTAATCCCAGAGGCTTGAGAGGCTGAGGTAGGAGGATTGGAAGTTCAAAGCCAGCCTCAGCAAAAAAAAAAAAAAAAAAAAAAAAAAAAAAAGCAAAACGCTAAGCAGCTCAATGAGACCTGTCTTGAAATAAAAAATACAAAATAGGGCTGGGCTGGGGATGTGGCTCAGTGGTTGAATGCCTGAGTTCAATCACTGGTACCCTGCCCTCCCAAAAAAGATGATTTGAAGCAAAGTGTTAAAGAAAGGTACTAAAAGAAAAAAAAAGCTAAGGATTCATTTATTTATTTTTGTGAGGTCAGGGATCAAACCCAGGGTTTCACGCATGCTAGGTAAGTACTCTAATACAGAGCCATATCCCCAGACCAAAGCTAATGTTTTATTTTTTAGTACCAGGGATTGAACTCAGGGGCATTTAAGCACTCGGCTACATCCCTAGCCCTTTTTATTTTGAGACAGGGTCTCACTAAGTTGCAGAGGCTGGCCTCAAACTCGTGACCTTCCTGCCTCAGCCTCCCAAGTCACTGGGATTTTAAATACAAGTCAGCATTATTACTGTGTCTAGTACCTAAGTTTCAAGTCTACTTCTTGACACTAGTCTCTTTAGCAGAGAATATAAGATATAAATATCCCAATATCCCAGAGATATCTGTCTAGTAATTTTCCTCTATAAATTGGCCTTTTTTTTTAAATGTTTGTGTCCTAATGTGTACATAATAGATAGGAAAATTTGGTTTATAGCAAAGAGAAGTCAAGTATATTTTTAAAAATACTTTCACGGGGCTGGGGATGTGGCTCAAGTGGTAGTGCACTCGCCTGGCGTGCGTGCGGCCCAGGTTCGATCCTCAGCACCACATACAAACAATGGTGTTGTGTCCGCCGATAACTAAAAAATAAATATTAAAATTCTCTCTCTCTCTCCCTCTCTCACTCTCTCTTTAAAAAAAAAAAAAAATACTTTCACACAGCCAGGCATGGTGGCGCACATCTGTAACCCCAGCAGCTGGGGAGGCTGAGGCAGTAGGATCACAAGTTCAAAGCCAGCCTCAGCAACAGTGAGACACTAAGCAATTCAGTGAGACCCTGTCTCTAAATAAAATACAAAATAGGGCTGAGGATGTGGCTCAGTGGTTGAGTGCCTCTGAGTTCAATCCCTGGTACTCCCCTCCCCCCAAATACTTCTCACATTTCTAGAATAGTATCTAATCTAAAGCAAGCAATTGGGATTAGACGTAAAAAAAAAAAGTTAGGTACTGGTGTTGAGAAGCCAATTTCTTCATGTCTGCACCCAAGCAGCTGATTGTTGCTAGAGAAAAAAAAAAAAAAAAACATACACTAGGGACTAGGGATGTAGCTCAGTGGTAGAGTACTTGTTTAGCATGCTCACAGCCCTGTGATGCTTCAAACCCCCACATCACTTAAAAACAAAACCATGCACCAGATCATCTGTTTTAACTTTTTTAGATTTTTTAAATTGCAGATGGACACAATACCTTTAATTAATTAATTTATTTTTATGTGCTGAGGTTCGAACCCAGTGCCTCATGCATGCTAGGCAAGCACTCTGCCACTGAGCTACAACCTCAGCCCTGTTTTAACTTTTTAAACTCACAATCACAAAACTTAAATTGGTACCCAATACCACTAAGGAAGTCCTATCAAAGACTTGCTTTACACTTCCCCTGCATTTGCAACCATCTTTACTTTGGTTACCCTTATTATCAGGGGAAACATCCCTGTTCCTATCCAAGGCCAATTCTCCCTGTTCCTTAAAATCCTCCAATAGATTTCAGTCTTCTGTAGGTCAAGCACAGATCTCTCCTGTATCACTCTACCTTCTTGTCCACTGTAGCACTTCCAATAATGAATAAACATGCTCAAGAACCCTCCCATCTCTTCTTTTTTTGGTACTGGGGATTGAATCCAGGGCACTTTACCACTGAGCTACATCCATCTGTAGCCCTTATTTTTTATTTTGAGGCAGGGTCTCACTAAGTTGTTTAAGGCCTTGCAAAATTGCTGAGACTGGCCTAGAACATACTGTTGCCTCCCCTACCCACACACACTTTTGGTACTGGGGATTAAACCCAGAAGTGCTTAACCACTGAGCAACATTCCCATCCTTTTTTTTGTATTTTATTTAGAGACAAGGTCTCGAAAAGTTGCTTAGGGCCTTGCTAAATTGCTGAGGCTTGCTTTGAACTTGCGATTCTGCCTCAGACTCCAAAGCTGCTGGGATTACATGCACTACCACACCCAGCTTGGCCTAGGACTTAAGCTCTTCATACCAAGTCACTGAGAGTACAGGTGTGTACCCCTCCCAACCAGCCCCTACCATCTTTTAAAACATTTCCTGTGGGCTGGAGGTGGAGCTCAGTGGTAGAGCACTAGTCTAAGCATGTGCAAGGCCCTGGGTTGGATCCCCAGCACCCACCCACAAACAAACAAACAAACCCAAACAAACAAAACCCTTTCCCTTGACGTCATATGTTTCTACAATAATCCCTAAATTTTTCTGCTTGCTTCACAGAAAATGTCTCTCAAGTTGCCTACAGGTGATGTCTCTTAATCCTTCACTTTCCTGTTCAATCATCAACCCATACTAGTCAGTTGATATCCTCAATTGACCCACTGTGACTCAGCCCAAGGTACCAATGATTCTCCAGCGACCATCAAGGTAACCAATTTAATAGCCATGCCTCTGGCCCAAGTTAACCAGAACTCTCAGCAGCACTGGACAGATGCTGCTGCTTCTGCTATGTGAAACCATTTCTGCCCTTGGACTCCACAACTCAACACTCTAGATCTCCTTGTCTTTCTGGTTGCTTCCTATCAACTTCTTTCTCCATTAGCCTCTCTCTAATGTAGGAGTGCCCCAGAACTTGGTCTTTGAACTTCTCTCTTTCCTCCAAGTCATGGGTCCAAGCCCACACTTGTGGTTGAATCAGTTCATGAAGTTTTAAAACATCTGATTTAGTTACCAAGATCTAAAAATCTGGAAATTTTACATTTTTTAAAATTCGGGTTTTGATTCCTTTAGGGGGAAAAACAGTATGTCAACTTAGGGCAAGTATTCTCACAACAGCAAACAGCTGGATGGAGCAGAAGCCACTTCCTTGACATTAGGTGCATTTGTTATCTGCGATGTCTAAGGCAAGGGGGATTTAGATGAGTCACATTCCTGCAATACCAGAAGGCTCTCCTGCCAGAACCACCAAAACACCTTGCAATCCGCCTCAGTGAACTTCACTGGTCGCTGGTTGGGCAAGGAACCTCGTGGGGAGGACGGGGGGGGGAGGGGGGTAAGGACTCCGCCCACACGGAACTTAATAGTTCTCAGGCAAAAATAAGCACATTAAAAAAAACAAAACAAACAGAAACAGAATTACAGCGCACCAATACAGAAAGTCCTTTCTGCAAAAGACGACTGTTGGGGTCATGTAAAAGCGTTAAGTGTGGTCTTCCGCTGCCTCTCCGGGCTGAGAACATCCACAGGAGGCCCGGTTTTAGGAGAGCCTGTTCTAGGAGGGAGAGAGCTTCAGAAGCCACTGTGCAAGAACAGCTTTTCTTGCCATTGCCCTGTGACGCTGGACTGTATCTACTGGGCGCGCGAGGACCTCCCGGTCTCTACTCAGAGGCGGGCCTGTGTAGCATTCGGAGGGCGGATGGAGCCCGGCTGAGGCGGAGACTGGGCGGGGCCGGGCCCAGGAGCCGCCTCAGCCCCACGGTCCCGCCCCGCGCGAGCTTCCTCCAGGAATCCCCACTCCCCCAAACCTTTACGGATTTAATGGGCAGAAGATAGCTGCCGAACCAGGTCAAATAGATCAGGATCGAGGACCGCCCAGAGGCGGCGGCCTCCGCACAGGAAGCTCCACCCAGCAGGAGACGGGACTCCAGGGCGCCGGCAGAGCCCACGCGCGACCGAGCGAGGGCGCGGGAGGGCACGAGCGGCGTGACTACGCGACTCGCGGCGCGTCCCGTGACGCCATCGCGCCCGCTTTTGAAAGTTGGCGCCCGGGGCCGCCTCCCATGCTGCCCTGCGCCAACCCCTCCCCTCACCTTTCCTCCCC